TCAATTTTTAACTACAATCAATTATAAATACTAACAATTTTAAAAATGATTAATTAAATAATTAAAAATTAATTTTCTTTTTCCGCCAACTCATGCCTTTGTCTATAAATTCAGTATAAATAGTCTAAATTCCACTAACTTGAATCTTTATATCTCAAGTCTCTCTATCTTTTTTATTTACTTCTTTGAACTGTCACGACACTTGAAAAGCAATTATTTAACCAAAAAAAAGAGGGTGGGGGTGGGGGAAAGAGGAAAAATCTCTTTGTATATATAAATTGCAGCTGTCGCTCTTGAGAAAAATTGTACATAAAACTTGAATGCAATATAATGGTGCACCGAAGGTCATAAAAGAGAACTGTACAGTACATATACTATCATTAAAATAATGTTTAATTATAAAACAAAAGGAACAAAGAAAAAAAAAACTGAATCACCTAATGATTAAATATTATAAATTATTACAAATTTGGTAAATGCAATTAATTAATCATTATCCTGATCAATAATATAAAATTCTTGCAAATCATATATTTAATTAAAATAAACGATACTTCTAAGTTGAGATATTTTATAAATTAATTAAAATTAATTTATAAATAATAATAATTATTATTGTAAATGTTGCATAAGTCAATTATAATAATTTTGTTCAATTTCTTTTTTATTTCAAGTGTTCTGTATTGTAAAAACGAGAATTTCGCAAAAAAAAAAAAAATTGACTTATGCAGCTTTTGCAATGACTTTCAATTATAAAAGCCATAAAAAAGTGAAGCAAATTCTTAGGAATAAATTTTTTTCTGAATGAGAAACCTTATTTTTTAAATTAAAATCTAGTAATTAATTAAAAAAAAAATTTTTCTAATTTTTTAATTGGATCCTACATCGAAAGAAATATTTTATTAACGTTTATTTATAGACAAATAAAAATATATTTGTCTCTTAAAGCCTATAATAAGTTTTTAATTTTGTTTTAAATTAAAAAAATTTATTTATAGCACAAATAAAATTTAATTGAAACAAATAAATATTTATTTGACTCTAAGACAGATATATCTTTCCTCTGGATGTAAAGCTCAAATTAATTCGTAAACATTAATGAATTTTTTTGAAAATATATTTAATCATCATGTTATTTTGTTGATGAAAATTATTATAAAAATTTTTTTTTTAGCTTCCGGTGTATGAAAATATTTTATATAACAAAACATGCAAAATAATCTATTTACTCGTGATAATATCGCTTTACACAAGCTTTCAAAAAACAACTTCTATATATTTTATAAATAGATAAAATAATTTATTAATATGTGTGTATGTGTGTGGAATAATAGATAAAAATGGAATTTTTCTGCTATTTGAAAAAGTAGAACAAAAGTGGGTACGCGAACAAGTTGACGTCATGATCTGAAATTTATTCAAATTTAACTACATTTCAAACCCAAGGGTGCTTTATTTGAATGATCAGATTCTTTTCTCGTTATCTCTATGTAGAACAAAGTGAATGAGAAAAAAATTCTTTTTTTCCACATTCACTTATTTATTAACAAGGAACGATATTCGATCATTTATAATTAAAAAAAAAAATTATATATTTTTATTAATTTTACAGAATGAGGCAAATTTAACCCCTTTTTCCAAACAAATAATTAAAAAAAAACTTTGTTAACAAAATAAAAAACATGTTACCACCCACGTATATATAAAGTTCATGAAAGTGGAGTTTTTAAAAATAGAATATTTTTTTGTTTTTTGTGATTGCAATTTGATAAATGGAATTAGTGACAATATAAATTGTTACTATTTTTTTTTCTAATTTTTAATTAATTTATTTATTTTTTAATTTTTAATTTTTAATTTTCAATTCAATACGTTTACTAATTTTTTATAACTTTAATTCTTTAAACTACAAAATTTGAAAAAAAAATATCCCAAACAAAAAAAAATAAAATGTCACATAAAGAATGTTCCACACTTCCGTAATAACAACTATTTGCATAATTAAATCATAGATAAATCAATAAAATTTCGTAATATATTTTTGTGATTAAATATCCTAAATTAAAATCGATTTACATAATACACGATTCACACACATATATATAATAATTATATATATATAGTATTAATTCCATAATCGTTTGGTAATTTATTAATTATCTTTTTTGGATTAAAAATGAAAAATGAAAAGTATTTTCAAGTGTCGCACATAGCTAAACGAAATTTATGAATGTAATTTAATCTTTCACTTTGGATCCAGTACCGTTTGTCCGGGCGCTTGTAAGATAATAAGGTCATAGCAATCTACGCGATGTTTCGACCTTGTGTTCCTGGTTCTCACTGCCGCAGCAGTATCATCGAATTTTACTATTGCATTACATTTTATTATATCATATATTAACTCCGAGAATTTTCATCAATTTTCTTTTTTAATTTTTATATATTATTTAAAAAAATTTTAATTTAAACTTTTTTTTCAAAATAAATTAAATAAATTTTATTTAAACAATAAAATAAAAATTATTTTTATATAAATAAATATTTATTTGATAATAAGTAACCAAATAATATTTAAATCAAATAATTTTTTTTTATCATTGTATAATTGAAATAAGGAATTTATATATTTAAAATTCCAACTAATAAACGAAATCGGAAAATTTTTTTTGTACGTGCTAATGCAATTTTTTTTTTTAAAGTTGATATTTTTTTTCTCAATTATCAAAGACAATTTACATCTTAAAGGCCTGAACCAAGTTTAAATTCACACTCGTGTGTATTTTCTAAACGATAATCTATTTTTAAAGATTTTTTTTTTTCTCTACATAATCTCGTGCACGTGTCAGCATTTTATCCCATCATATTTCCGCAATATATATTTTCTATATGAAAGACTTATAGGAATTATTGTATAACAATGTTAAACCCGTTATATTCTCTTTAGGAGTTCCATTCCTTCTACTCCAGACATGAACAATTAATAAAATCCTTTTACCCAACATTTCAACCCACACAAATTAAATAAGTAAATTAGATACTCGAAGAAAATTAGCTTTTTAGATTCTAAAAAACATTTTATTAAATTAATATATTCAAATACTTTGAATAACAAATTTAGGTTCAAAAAAAAAAACGTTTTTTGGTGATAGATAAACAAAACTAAATTTTTTTTTTAAATCTTGATAAATAAACAAATTTTCACTAAATAAAAATATTTAAATATCAAGAAACAATTTCAAAAAATATAAAAACATAAAGAATTTAAAAAAAAATTAGCTATACACCCAGATAAATCTTTTATTTACAATTATTTGCCTCAAACAAAAATATATTTGTCTCAAAGACTAATAACTTTTTATTTGTTTAAAAAAAAAAATTTATTTAGCACAAATATTATTTTAGAGCATAAAAAAATTTTTTATTTAAACAAAATAAAAATTTTATTTATCACTGAGGCAAATATTATTTATTCTCTCTGTGTGTAGGAAATGTTTATAAAGAATTTTGTTCCCTATACATACTTTTTCAGTATATTATTTATAATAGTTTTAATCATGAACATGGAAAAAGTAACGGTAATAATAAAGAGAACGTTACTCTCATTGGCCATGAATAAAACGTATATACGTTCAATAATGATTCTACATTCATGATTTGTTATTAAATATGTTTCAAAAAATATAATTTCATAATTATTATTTAACGAGCTGAATTCATTTTTAAATTAATATTATGAAAATTCGATAATTGTATTAATTAATTAATTAATTACATGAAATTGATCACGAAATCTGTTTTTTTTCAAAAATATATAATTATATTGAAATTATAAATTATGAGGATATAATTTCTATTAAACTGAATTTTTACTTTACAGAATTTTCATTTAATTTTATTTTCTATTTAAGCAAATTTTCTTTTGTGCGATAGAATTTTTATTATTATTATTATTATTATTATTATTATTATTTTAATAATTTATAATCTCTTTTACGCTTATCAGATTTTAATTTTTTTTAAAAATAATTATACACTTCGAAAAATGGAAAAACGAATAAAGTAATTTTTACTATACTTTATAAGTAAAATCTCAACTGTCCGCAGTTTCTGCACATTTCTATCAATTTTTATCTACTCCAGAAATAGTAAAATTTATTCCGAAAATAGTACTCCTGAAAGAGTAAACCGCAAATAGTAAATTTTACTATATTTCTGGAGTAAAAATTGCTAGAAATACGCAGAAAACGACGGACAGTTGAGAAATTTTACTTTATAAAGTATAGTAAAAATTACTTCAATCGTTTTTCCATTTTTTTCCATAATGTTATTTTAAATTTGCACATGAATATTCAAATATACATTGTAACAGTAATATTAATCGAAAAATAATGACAATCAAGAAAAACAAAAAAAAACAAAAAACCATTGTTAGTCATTGATAAGAAAAACAAAAGACAATAGCGGAAAATAAAAATAATATTAAAACTAATGATATACTATTATTACTCCTATATTTAGATAATATTTAAAATTTCTCCTATAATGATTTAAATTAATATTCTGTCATCAAAAATAAATATTTTAAGAATTTCCATGAAAAAGCGCGGACATGTCCAATAACTTAATTTGTCTTTAATTTTTCTTTTTAATTCTTAGAAAAAAAAATTTCCCATGAGAGAGATAAGAAAAGATTCGGAAAATTTTGTTTCCGAATTTTTTTTTTTCGGTGGAAAAATAGAAAATTATACTGTAAGTGATAAATATTTGCAAGCGTGCAAAAAATCCAATTCTTTGAGAAAATACATTTCTTATTGTGTAAAAAAAATTTCTCAAGAAAGCATTTCAACATTTGAACCCGTCATTGTTTAAGAATCTCGATATATATATAGTAAACCGTTATACATAAAGAATAATTGTTCGCGTTTCAAATTACATATATCTGTGAGGAATAAACAAAGACAGAAAGAAAATAGAATCGTATAATTAAAATTAAAACATACCGAGAGGACTTCTCATTAGAAAAACGGGATTTATCACCATTGAAAGTGGTGCTGAATGTCATGATTGAATAGATTTGATGACGATTCCGATTATCTTTTCTTATTTTCCGTTTTTTGTTCCGATCGTTGATACTCGAGTTCCTTGTAAGAATTCCAAAGAACTCTTCTAGTCAGCTGATTGCACGTTTCTTCATTGCTTTTCCCACTGTTTTCATTAGGAGCGGAATTTTACTTCCAATTTCTAACTATACTTTAAATTAAAAAAAAAAAAAACTTATTTGTTCACAAAAAAAAAAATTCACTATTCACTTTTTTTTGTTTTTCTTCAAAAACACTTCGAATTCCTTTAATTCTAAAGACTTTTTTTGGTTGTTAAAATTATCGGTCCAGCTACTGTGCAAATTGTATAATATTGTTCCACTTGAAATTTGGATGAAAGAAAAACTTTTAAAGCTTCACTTCCGACACTTTTTTTTTTTTTTATTAAGTTAGAAACACTTTTGGCGTTATCTTAAACTTCAAAGCCACACTTGTCACCTTGCAGCCGTGGACCATTAGTTTCTATCCAAAAAAAGGTAGAGTCTTCAAAGGAAATGTGTCTTACCTGTTAAACAGGTCTTTTGATGATAGAAAATTGATAGTGTTTCAGGTCATCAACCCTTTTTTGCACATAAAGAGTTCCTTGATTGCTCATCAAAGGCCTTCTTTTCAGTTAATTATTTCCTTTTATTATCTTCTGATCTTCATTTCTTTCTTCTTCAATTATTCCCAAATCCTTTCAAAAAGATTTAACACAGAATCCTAATCACAAAAAAAGAAGTGCAACGAAGCGAAGAAAGGTGATTTTTATTCCCAAGGAATAGGTGCAATGACCCTTTTTTTTTTGCTTATAGAATTTATGTATAAAACCCGTGTCGTTGAACTGGCAACTTGAGTCCAAGTTCAAGGAAGAGAAGATAAGGAGAAAGGCTGTTGTTAATAACAAAAATATATTGTTCCTCTCGGTATATGATGGCAGTCGAGAAACACGTGTTTTGGTTTATAGGAACACGCGCATGAATACCGATAGGGTATAAAGATCGCACGTTTTATTTAAAAATAAATAAATATATATATATATTTATAAGAGGTAGAAAGAAAAGGGGGAAAGATATAGAGAGAGATAGAGACCGCGGAGAATGTCGATTACAACCGACGTGCCTCCACGACGACGGACATCCTATTCGCGTCGCGTCTGGTAACCGACTGTGGCCAACTAAACCTGAAGCCATACGCAGACAACATGCGCAGACAAGATGGCATCAACGAGGTGGAGGACCCTCCGGATGGATCATGGATGTTCCCTGCCTGATGACGTCATTTTTTTTACACCCTACCCAATAATCCTTCCTCCATCTCTTCCACATAGCAACGTACAACAACCATCCCCTGGATATGTTTGCGGATCCTTACAGCATCAACAGAGCTTGACATTCGATTAGGCATGGACCACCTGAAGATCCTTTATTTATATACTTATTTTGATATTAACTCTTTTTATGATAGGTTTTTTCTTGTACTAAAGAACTGCTGATAAAAATTTCCAATTGCAATTCAATCAGTTGTGATTTGTACTATTTCGAATTTAAATTCTTAAAGGCTAATCACACATTAATTCTTTCCGCATCAATCCGTTTCAATTCAAAGCTGAATTTTCATCTGTTGCGAATCAATCCGTTTCTGAATTACAGTATTCAGTGTTCTTTGAAAACGGATTGATCCGGAACCATTTGGTTATTAAAAAATAAATCTCTAACCTTTGCCTGCAACAAATGATGAGATTTAGGAGGATTAGATTTTGAGATACACGTGATTTAACAAATTTCGAACACTCCCGAAACCACGTTTAAATTAATAAGAAAAAAAATACCTTTTCTAAAGATTTAGACGATCGCGGTTTTAAGAATTCCGAATACTCCCGAAACTATGTTTAAATTATTAAAAAAAAAAACAAAATACCTTTTCTAAAGATTTAGACGATCGCGATTTTAAGAATTCCGAACACTCCCGAAACCGCATGTTTAAATTAATAAGAAACAAAATACTTTTTCTAAAGATTTAGGCTATTTGCGATTTTAAAAATTTCGAACACTCCCAGTACAAAAAATTTACTAAAATTACAGAGAAAAATATAATTTAAAACTGGTAATTTTTGCGAATGTTTTTCTACAGATTCAAACACTCGAAAAGCTATGTTTAACAACGAAAAATGTTGTCTTTTAAATTAGAAAATGTGTATGTTGAACACGTTTAAACAAGTCGATTCCCGAATTGCAACTGATTGAATTATGGGGATTTTCTCACTACATTATTTATGAGCTTCAATATCCTTTGTACTTCAATGTAAACAAACTACTCAGAATGCAGGTATAAAGAAGACTAGGCCACACTGTTTTTATGAATAATGGATATAATAGTATACTTTCTAGATAAACTTATCGCATTGAGAATTCCCTTTGATCTCTGTCAGTAAAATAAGGTTATGTTAGTCATCTCTTTTGTTGACACTACCGTGCACATGAGAGACATCCGTATGGCAAAATCAACCAAACGGTAATGGAAATAACAAAATCAGTAATACAATATGGTATAGAATAAACCAACTCTATCACAGAAAAAACGCTGGATAAATTTTGTTACAGCTAATATTAACCTAATTCACATAGACGGTGGCGCCTCCAACTAGGATAAAATTTGTTGCAGTTAATTTTTATACCGATTTTGGGATAAAAATTCTATTTTTTTAGTGTGATGATAAAAATCAAATTATAATATAGGAGAGAAAGGTTACAGTATATTCTACTTAAGGTCTAATATGTTTAGTACAGATTCTATTAAACAGTGAAGTAAGATGAACTGCTCCGTCGCAAGAAAAAATTATCAAAACGAAATGCACAAATCTAACTGGTTGTTCAAAATCTGCTTGATTGTAGGCAACCAATTAAGTTTCTATATTTCGTTTCGGGCGGTAAATTTTTCTTTTACTAAACAGAATAGTTTATTTAACTGACAGTTAAGTAAGTCCAAAATTAACCACTCTATTTAGTAAATTATACTGTCATAATAGTATAGAATCCACTATACTATACGAATATATAATATTCTCTTCGTGTATATAGCATATAAATAATTTAGATTTATTATTCATTGCCAAGTATAATTGTAACTTTCACAATCAAATACAAAGCTAAACACACAACAAAAGAATAGCACAAAAATAGAAGTTGATTGTATTTAAAAAAATATGTATATATAACTATATATATCGAGGATGTTAATCATCAATCTACATTGACAATATCTTGAGGGTATAATCTTCTATTGTTATAAATTAAATTTCTATTATTATCTATTATTATTATTATTACTATTTTTACTATTTTAAAAAAACAACTTTTTAGTGATCAAAAACTTGGTTGAAAAATTGAATTTCAGTATATGTTCAATAACTGTTGCATTAAATGCTGGTTTATCATTTTAGAATGTATTGCAAATAATTTATTTAGTATTCTATTTATTTTATTCTATATTTAAATATTCAAAAATACTCTAGAAGGTTTATTAACTTATTTCTTTATTGATAGTAAGCAAACACGCACCCAGGAAATATATCTAATTGTTCAAACTGAACGTGATTAGTTATTATTAGATCATTATTTAGATACACAGAAATATATATAAAAATAGACTGAAAATTCTGTCTGTTTATTAATCGATTTAATTAAGTATTCAAAGAGACAATTTTCTTTTATGATTTTATGAATATAAATAGTTTGCATTCGCAAAATTCGTGCCGTTTAGAATTTATATTATAAAAAAATATTTTATTGTATAAATCAACATTATTATTATTATTATTATTATTATTATTATTATTATTATTATTATTATTTTCTTCGTTATTTGGTTAATTAAGAGAAGCATATACAAGTTATAAAAAATAGTCCAAAAAAAATCCACAAAGAACTTTTTCTCGAAAACAAAAAGAATATTAACAACACAAAAAAAACCTGTATTCTTTGATATAACTTGGGAAAATTCCCAGATATTTCCTTCATTACTATATGAGCTTGAAATAGATTACTCGAAGTTTCCCATATCGCTCGCACCACATCGATCAAATTGTAGCAAAAAAAAAAGTAACCATTTCACATGATAATCATGTTTGCCTGTGATTTAAATTTAAAGATTATTTTACGATTATTGTTTAAATAATGAGGTCGCGTATGAATAAATATTGCAATTCTCTTTATTCAAACATATAAATTTAATTTTGATTGATTTAATTTAATTTTCATTTAATTTTAATCCTCTTTAACAAATTTATTGGGAAATTTAATTTTTATTCAAAAAAAAAAAAAATTTGCGTGAAAAAAATATTTTTATTTTTTCTTCAATATTGAAAAATATAATGTCCTAATCAAAAGCAATAGGGGTATATATTGTATTTAGTTTGAAACGAGTTTGAAAAGAAGATGTTTGAAAGCCCTCCCCATAGTGGAGAGAGTGATAGCAGTTAAATATAATTTCCGATTCATTCAGAAAGTCATCCACATGCTTGCCAAATGGTTTCACTTAAATTCTGAACCATTTACTATTTTCATCATAATTCCTAGTTTTCATCGTGTGACGAATTATATAAATAGAACAATGTTTAAGTAAAAGTGGGTGTCATCACGCCGAAAGTGTATACTTTATTTATTGTTTTTTTTTTTAGCAAACTTTAAAATTTAAGAAAAAAATAAATAAAATTTCTGCTAAACTGACAAAATATTTATTAATGTAAAATGTTCCTATAAAATTTTTCACCGAAAAAAAAATATATGCAAGATTATTGCAAATAAAAAAGTGGTTTGCTGACAAATAAAATTATAAAAAATAAAAATTTTTATTTGAGGAAAAAAAAAGCTGACGAAAAAAATCTAGAACAAAGAAAATATAAATAAAATATAACAATACAACTGTAATAATAATTGCACTGCTCTTTCGCTAAATATTCGAATCGAAACAAATAGATTAATTGTTTCTTTTATTCTAACTCACAGAAATAAAGGATGGAAAAAAAAGGTCAGATAACAAACTTCCGTATAAAAAGAAATATGGAAAATAGAACAAAGTTCTTGTTTTTAATACAAATATATTGTCTGCCAATTAAGGAAGTTGACATATATACATAAATGTACACAAACTACTTGCATATTATTTTTCCTGTTATTAATTTCGACCTCAAATTTTTATCCTATAATTCAAAAAAAAAAATTACCGAATTTTAATTTGACAGAATTTTTATTTGTACGAATTTTTAAGACACCGAATTTTCATTTGTCCGAAATTACAAATGCCCGAAAAAAATAATCGTCAGAAAGATTTTCGGCGCAATTTATGAAAATTGACCAATTTTCCTAATTACTAATTGGTCAATTTTAAAAACAGTGCCGAAATCTTTCTGTCGATTTTTTGTTCGGCCACTTGTAATTTTGGGCAAATGAAAATTTGGCCTCTTAAAAATTCTATCAATTAAAAATTCGAACAAACTAAAATAATTAAAAATATCGTTAACGGAGTCAGAAAAAAATATATTTATAATCCTAAAATCATATTTATTAGTTATGAAGAAAGTTTTGTTACCTAAATATATATATATATATTATATACTAAAGAGAAATTCTTAGTGACTGATGATTAAACTTCCCAGAGAGAAAGAGAAATGATATCGCGTGAATTTGTTTGGTCGAAGATTTTCTTCGAATATTTGGATGGATGAAAGTTTTGCGCAGTGTCCTTGAACGATATATTATATATGAACCAAGTAAAATAGTTTAATAGACGAAACTCTGTCACGCAAACTATATATACGGGATGTATTCCCTTCAGTATAAAGAAACTTTTCCAAGATCACTTTATCATTTTTTATGTCATTCAATCTCATTGTTTTTTTTTTTTTTTTTGACACAAGAATTTAAAAATAAAACAGGTTCAGTTAAAAGTCAAATTTCGTTTTAAAACTTCATTTAAATAGATTTAAATAATGTTAAATAAAATATATACAGTACCGAAAAAAACAGAACATAAATGCACAGAATTTTTTCTTTTTGTTTAATAATCGATAATGCAATTTTTTATTTTCTTCTATTTTTAATATAATAGCTTAAGAGATATTTTTAAGTTATTAAATTTTTAAAAAAATTATTGTAAATCGTCACGTAATAAATTTGTTAATAAAAAA